TTCGGCTCCGGTCTGTTGTGAACATGGAGCTGAACTGAGAAGCAAAGCTCTCGTTTTATTAGGTCCAACGTTCACCTGTAATAATAATAGGGATGCACAATATATCGAAAAATTATCGTCATCGCGATAACAGGACGTGCGATAGGCCCATCGCAAAACATGCAAAAACGGCGGTAAATGTTTGGTTCAAACATTTCCATCCGTGTCATACATCAGCTTTTTGTAAACCAGCTCTGTTTTTTACGCGGAAGTATTATTTGACCAGTCAAATGTAGTCCTTCTGATATGCGGCCAATCAGATGGTTCCGTTCACGTAATGCGCCCACCCCCTACGTAGACCCTTTTGGAAAGCAACACCCGAACTGAGTTAGCGGTGCCGTTCCCTTGTTCGTCATGCTGGCTCAGAGCAATGAACGCACTTTGTGCTGAGGTTTCTGGAATCAGCGCTGCTTTCAAACGTGAACATTACTCCGCTCGGTGTCGTTAATCATTTTTACCGGGCTGACTCAGACACGTGCCGGTGAACCAACCCACCTTCATGTCGCTAGTGTTCCACCGAGTGGTGATGTTAGCCCCAGGCTCCGGTTAGCTTCCAGCTAAAAGGCTACAGCACTCTCCTCCCAGTCCCACCCTGCTAAAGAGGGCCTGGGAAAGTTCCCCCACACATCAAAGTGATTTTTCATTTATGAGCTTTTATAACCTTGTTAATCAGGATAGTTGATTTGCTGCTGCACATAAACTGTCAGTCAGAAGCTCTGCTAGCCGGTTATCTTAGAGGAGCTAGTTCAATTTGTTAGCTTGTTATCAGAATCATAGTTGCAGTTTCATCATCTGAGCTGCTTTTTAAGATCTAGGTAAACTTGTTCAATTTGGGGTTAAAAACAAATGTTTTCACATATTTTCCATGTAGTTTTTTGCCAGTTCCTCTTCTGAAAGGTAGATAATTGTTTTTCTCTTTCCCTCAGAAAATCCTAATGTTCTCCTAGTTTGGCCCAGCACAGTTCACTTCCCAATTGCAGCAACAGCCTTATATCATAACCACATAAGTGGAGAAAATGTTCAGTAGCAATGAGAGGATTTGCTGTTGCGTTTAAGTGATGTTAACTATTATTTAACATTTAAACTTATTTTCTGATTTTTTTTATTTATTCAAAAACCCTGGTAAGGGATGTTTTTCTGCATGTGGAGCATCAGAAAAAGTTTTGGTGATGTTTTAAAGTCACTGAGAAACTGCATGCATGCAGTTTGTTGTTTTGCTGCTAATACAGTAGCGGGTGCAGCTGCTAATACAGTAGCAGGTGCAGCTGCTAATACAGTAGCGGGTGCAGCTGCTAATACAGTAGCAGGTGCAGCTGCTAATACAGTAGCAGGTGCAGCTGCTAATGCAGTAGCGGGTGCAGCTGCTAATACAGTAGCAGGTGCAGCTGCTAATACAGTAGCGGGTGCAGCTGCTAATACAGTAGCAGGTGCAGCTGCTAATACAGTAGCAGGTGCAGCTGCTAATACAGTAGCGGGTGCAGCTGCTAATGCAGTAGCTGGTGCAGCTGCTAATACAGTAGCGGGTGCAGCTGCTAATACAGTAGCGGGTGCAGCTGCTAATACAGTAGCAGGTGCAGCTGCTAATACAGTAGCAGGTGCAGCTGCTAATACAGTAGCAGGTGCAGCTGCTAATGCAGTAGCGGGTGCAGCCGCTAATACAGTAGCTGGTGCAGCCGCTAATACAGTAGCAGGTGCAGCCGCTAATACAGTAGCGGGTGCAGCCGCTAATACAGTAGCGGGTGCAGCCGCTAATACAGTGGCAGGTGCAGGCGCTAATACAGTAGCAGGTGCAGCTGCTAATGCAGTAGCAGGTGCAGCTGCTAATACAGTAGCAGGTGCAGCCGCTAATACAGTAGCAGGTGCAGCTGCTAATACAGTAGCAGGTGCAGCCGCTAATACAGTAGCGGGTGCAGCTGCTAATACAGTAGCAGGTGCAGCTGCTAATACAATAGCAGGTGCAGCTGCTAATGCAGTAGCGGGTGCAGCTGCTAATACAGTAGCAGGTGCAGCTGCTAATACAGTAGCGGGTGCAGCCGCTAATACAGTAGCAGGTGCAGCTGCTAACACAGTGGCAGGTGCAGCTGCTAATACAGTAGCGGGTGCAGCTGCTAATACAGTAGCAGGTGCAGCTGCTAATACAGTAGCGGGTGCAGCCGCTAATACAGTAGCAGGTGCAGCTGCTAACACAGTGGCAGGTGCAGCTGCTAATACAGTAGCGGGTGCAGCTGCTAATACAGTAGCGGGTGCAGCTGCTAATACAGTAGCAGGTGTAGCTGCTAATACAGTAGCGGGTGCAGCTGCTAATACAGTAGCGGGTGCAGCTGCTAATACAGTAGCGGGTGCAGCTGCTAATACAGTAGCAGGTGTAGCTGCTAATACAGTAGCGGGTGCAGCTGCTAATACAGTAGCGGGTGCAGCTGCTAATACAGTAGCAGGTGTAGCTGCTAATACAGTAGCGGGTGCAGCTGCTAATACAGTAGCGGGTGCAGCTGCTAATACAGTAGCGGGTGCAGCTGCTAATACAGTAGCAGGTGCAGCTGCTAATACAGTAGCAGGTGCAGCTGCTAATACAGTAGCAGGTGCAGCTGCTAATACAGTAGCAGGTGCAGCTGCTAATACAGTAGCAGGTGCAGCTGCATATTTTTTCAATAAAAATGTTATGTTGTAATGGAATTCATGCATTAGTTTTTGTTTGCTTTGAACCCAGGGCAGACGTCACACGCCAGACGACATCAACACTGCATACTTTAGTATTTGCTCATTTATCGCGAGTAATATCGATATCGCAATATTAAGCATTGTTATCGAATATCGCAGGTTTTCCTAATAACGTGCAGCCCTAAATAATAATAATAATAATAATAATAATAATATATTTTATTTGTAACGCACTTTACTTTTCAATGAAATCTCAAAGTGCTACAGTAGGAAATCAGAAACAATGTATGGAATAATTAAAAACAATGAATAAAAACAAAAAATACATCAAACCATACAATGCTAAGTTAACGCACGGTAAAACAACAGCAATACCAATCAGTTTGGAAAATCTTGTGTAAATAAAAATGTCTTCAGATGTTTTTTAAAACATTCAACACTCTGAGGTGCTCTCAATGCTTCAGGGAGTGTTCCACAGGCGCGGGGCTGCAGCTTGTAAGGCTCGATCTCCCATGGTATGAAGTTTTGTTCTGGGCTGTTGCAGGACTTGAGAATTTCTAGTGTGAAAATTTCTGGAGGTGATGTGGATAGTAAGGAGCTCTTTAAGATAAATACGAGCATTTCCGTGGATACACTTATAGGTAAGGAGACCTAGTTTGTATTCAGTTCTATAGGGGATTGGTAACCAATGAAGAGACTTCAGTACAGGTGTGATGTGGTCATATTTGTGACCCCTCGTCACAATTCTGGCAGCACAGTTCTGGATGTGCTGAAGTTTCTGTAGGCATCCACTAGAGATTCCAGTAAGTAAAGAGCTGCAGTAGTCTTGCCTAGACGAAACAACGGCGTGGATCAACTTCTCAGCATCTGATTGGGTAAGAAACGGGCGAAGTCTTGCATGTTTTTAAGATGGAAAAATGATACTTTAGAAAGATGACGGACAGGATTTTCAAGTGATAAATGTTGGTCCAGTTTGATTCCGAGATTAGTGGTAGACGTAGAAAACGTTATGTTACTACCTAATATGGTAATATTTTTAGGTTAGTAGATTAGACCTGATGAGGAGTACCAATGAGCAGTACCTCTGTTTTGCTGCTGTTTAGCTGGAGAACATTTTCAGACATCCATGCCTGTGTCACATCCAGGCATGCTCCAAGACCTGCGGCCACGAGAAGTTAATCGTGACTGAAAGAACGAGATTCCAGCTGGAAACGATTGTACTGAGCTTCCTCTGTAGGTGGGCTGGGCTCAGCCTTAGAGATGAGATCAGGAGCTTTTTCATCGAGGGGAGCGTGGAGTAGAGCCGCTCCTCCTCATCAGATGGAGTCAGCTGAGGTGGCTCGGTCGTCACGTTGGAGGTTTTCCATGTATGTCCTTCCAGGGAGGACCCTGAACGTTCTGGAGAACTTCTGAAACATTTCCAGCCTGTTGACGCCTTCAGAGGAGCTATTTGGTGTTTTAATTGGATTTATTTAAAATAATTATCTCAACACCTGCATTGAAAGTTTTGGGACCTTAACATTTGGGAACCGATGATGCATGATCATTCGGTTTTTAAAAAACTAAGAGTTGACTGTTGAGTATTTAGTATTACAAAGCAGATTATGTCTAGAAAAAGAAATGGTTGTTTCTAAGCAGATGGATGATGGACGGATGGATGGTTGGTTGGTTAGACGGATCTTTAGAGGAATCTTCTGATTTTCTCTTTATTTATGCTGAAACGTCTGTTCTACTCTAAGTTCCTGGATATTTTCCTACTTTTGGTTTTCTTCCTCCAGAGTCAGTACTCTGCGTAAAAATTCTGGTGCTATTTGGGCCCAAACGTAGCCTCTGACTGTGGGCTGCTTGTCCACTTGCATGCTGCAATTTCAATTTTTACAATTACAAATTGATTTGTGTTCACGGAGACCCTAAGGATCATTTCATCCTTATCGTTTGCTGTCACACGTAACAGCTTAGTGCTGCGCGTGGAGCTGAAAACGTTGAGCTGCAGCTCCTAATAAGAGCAGAAATATTGTGTTGGTGGTTTCATGTCCACTTCTGGTTTTTAATCACGATGAAAATGAAAATTCTGCCGCCTCGAATCGTGTTTGTGCTCCGTCCTCTCCCTTTGTGTGGCTCGCGTTCTTTCAGCAAATGGGATTTATTGAATAGCTGCAGAGCGAATTGGTGCTTTTTCTTTACAGGCCTGCAGAAAAGTTTGTGTCGTTAGATTTTTTTAAGTAGCTGAAAAAGCAGCAAGGTGAATCCTGCTGGAGACACTTTTCTGGTCACCGTGCTGATCGCCTCTTCTCCATCCTCAGAAACGCCTCAGAAGGACGGTGAAGATGCAGCATCATCATCGGACACTGCCTCAGACCCCGCCTCCTCACTGTTCAACCACTGGGGTCACGACCTCGGGCCAGAAAGTCGAAGGGTTGCGCTTAAGAAGTTCCGTTACTATGGTTACAACGGCTACCTGAGTGACCGTATATCCCTCACCAGGCCGATTCCTGATTTACGGCCAGATGGGTCAGTTGTGTTTTTGCATTTTGATGGAATCAGACAGAAATGCGATAATCAGACTATATTTAACGTTTTTCTCTGCAGATGCAGAAACATCTCCTACTCATCAGACCTTCCTCAGCTCAGCGTCATCTTCATCTTTGTCAACGAGGCCCTGTCGGTGTTGCTGCGCTCGGTCCACACCGTCATCCAGAGGACACCGCCCCACCTGCTCAAAGAGGTCATCCTGGTGGACGACCACAGCAGCAGCTGTAAGAATCCTAAAGCTTATCTCCTCTGAGCCACCTCCACACCTGCCAGCCTCATTTACACGCCCGACCGTCACCTGAAGAGCCTTTTAACTTCACATTAGGAGACTTTTTCCATGTTGGGAACTCACCTGGGAGCTGTTCTGCTTTGTTAGAAGCAGATTCTTCATCGGTCATAAGAAATATTTAAAGCTTTATCAATATTGCGAGGCCCACATATAGATTTCCTGTGTTGTTTTATGCCCAGCTTGTGCACCTCTGGGACCCACAGCAGGAAGTGGATGAGTTATTCTCCGCTCCGGTGCTGAAATAACGCCGTTGGCTCAGATTTCCCAGAGGTAGCCGGCAAAATTGGCACACAATGCTGGCGTGCGTCCTCACCTCAGAGTGTGAGGCCGGCTCGATCTCGGAAATACGAATTTGGTCCTGATAATAAGGTGATATTAAAAATAACGATCCCATTCAGAACTATATCATGTATCATGTGCATTTAGAGCTCTTTATTCTGCTCTTTACTCACCCCGACTGTCCTTAGAGCAGCTGTCTGTGTGGAAGGGGATCGGTGCTGAAGTAGATGGCTTCTATTAAAAACACATGATGTGTACGGCTAAAAAAAGATGTTTAAAATTTTATGAGTTTGCATTTAGTTGATTCAGTTACCCCACAGGCGGAGTGGTGCAGCCACTTAGCACTTATCTGTGAAGGGACGACGTTCATCCCAAACTGTCAACTAGTTCCTGAAAAAAAAAATACCGGAAGGCCTTTGCTTTTTCTGAGAAAACATCTAAACTCAAACTAAAAAAAATGCAGCATCATTGTTTTTGTTGTCCTGTTCTGTCTGTGAGATGTTTTACCACCAATCTCCATCAGAGATAAGAGCGTTCCCGTCCAGAGAGTCTTCCATTTGATCCTTCTGGATAAATGACTCCACCTCCTTTCCCAGAAAATTATTGTGCACACACACACACACACACACACACACACACACACACACACACACACACACACACATTTCACATTAACACAACAAGACGTGTATTTTTGTCATGATTAAAAGATGCATCGGGATTCTAACAACCAAACTGAGAATTTTCATCATCTTAGAAGGAAATTGGCTTTCTTATATTAACTTTAATATCTGGTACTATTAGTCAGGGACCCATTTTTAATTATTTAATGTACAATTTAGCACTTTTTTTAAGTAGCTAGGACAAATGAAACATTCACACCAAAAGCCTGCATCTCAGGAGGAGATTACTTTATTTTTTAGTGATGTGTCGGTCGCGAACGAACCGGCTCTAAGAGCCGACTCTTTGAAGTGAACGACAGGAGCCGGCTCGTCATTGGGAGGCGTCTGCTCCCCTCTTGCTTTGGTGAAAGCTACAGGCGATTGGTCAACATGTGTAACTGTGTGTCCAGACTGTCCACACACAGAGCAGTAGGGGCGGGGAAGAGGGAGGATCAGACTCAGACACACAGCAGAGCACATGCAGGCAGAGGGAGACGAGAGGGAATGAGGAGGAGGAAAAGGGCGAGCGAGAGAGTGGAGAGTGCGACGAAGACGGTGAGAAAATGAGCGCCAGCAGTCGGAAAGTTGAGATTTATTTAAGTGTTCAGTTATTAAATCCATATAAATGATAAATATTTGATATATTGCTTTTTTACATGAGTAAATCATTTTACATACAGTTTTGCATTATTTTTGGTTATAAATGTACTCTACGCAACAGAAAATCTGAGGAGCCACTTGGAGCCGAAAGAGCCGGCTCTTTTTGGTGAGCTGAGCCAAAAGAACCGGCTCTCTAAAAAGAGCCGGAATTCCCATCACTATTATTTTTACATAAAATGTAGATTAATTAAATTTATTCCCATGTTTGATTATAATGGATTCTGGAATTTGTAGTTTTTCATCACTTAAGGAGTAACTGTAGCATCGATTGCCAGAAGGAGTTTCAGCCAATGAGCACAGACGCTGATGTCAGCTTATCGGACAACAACTTTATTTTTACACCTAGCAGCTCCCACTCCATCAGCCAGCATGGAACACCAACTCACGGTTTGAAAGTTATACCAACTGACAGCAACACGTATAAAACTAAACAAAACTAAACTAATGCTAACATAACCCAGAACAATAAAGCTGCCCAGAACACAACGAAAATGGAACAAACTACTGTGACCTAGTTCCCACAATGCACCACACCGCTGCTTAGCCTGGCAGTGGGCGGGGTCACTACATAACTAAACCCCAAAATAACTTGTTTTGCTGATAAACTGTATAATTGGGTTTTTAGAAATGCAGTCTTTCTGTTTCTGTGAATTTTTTGACATGTTTGTGTAAACTTGATTAAATCTAGGTCTAAAAACGTCTTAGTGCTGCCTCCTGTGGGTAGAAATGTGGCTACTGCATTTTAAATTAGTGACTGACTGGAGCTGGTACAATTTCACGTCATCAGTAAAGTCTCTCCCCACACTTGGCCATGCCACTCCGTGCCTCCTGGCAAGTGGCAACGCCCACTTTCATAGCATTTTTCAAATCTTGACTAGGGGCGGAGTTACGTTTTCTGATGGTGTGCTGTTCCTCTTTAAGAAACCTGTTTGGTGGGTTTAAACCACGCCCCCACAATGCGGGTCAAAAATTGAGGCAAACGCGGAAGTGAAATAAATTGCAGTTCCACCCTCATCCACTAGGGGGCTGGTGTCAGAAACAAGCAAATCCTCATTGACTCCCATGTTATGGATGAAAAATGTATGGAGAAAATAATAACAGGCTTGGCCTATCTGTTTAAAGTACAAAACCATGCATGAAGTGGTCAACACAGGTACTTGGTACTTACACTTGCTGCGTTGTGTAGCTGATGTTGGAGACACACAGGCTGCCATGGTGACCTTTTAACAAATTTAAGAAAAAAATTTAATAAAAGAATGAAACTTAAAACTCCCAGACCTAATTTCATGATTGCTAATCAGCTATGGCTGATTTATTGTTTGGATCACAGTGAGTTACACTAATTCTAATATATTTTTATTTCTATTATACGTACATACTTTTTAATTATTATTTTCACATGACTGTTATCAGGCTGTCTTGTTCTGGTTCTTATGATAATAATTCTGTTTCTTCCAGTAAGTTGTGCTTACTTCATCTATATAATGTCTCTTTACTTTTGGTGAATTGTACTGAGTCCAGAATAAAGGCTAGTTGGCTGTACAAGATACAAACAAGAATTACGTTTAAGAAATATATGAAATGTATTTAGCCTGCTAATTTATTTCAAATACTAATAGCTACTGCATTTTCCGGACTACAAATCCCACTTATTGTCATAGTCTGGCCGGTCCTGCTACTTATACTCCGGAGCGACTTACATAACAAATTATGTAGGCTACACAGCGCTGCTGCGGGCCGACTCCGACCCATGAATGAGTTCCCCTGTCCCAAACGCCGCCATACTCTGCTGGAGACCATGACGCGCTGCTGCGGCGCATTATTCTGTTATTGTTACGCGCTGCTGCGGCGCATTATTCTGTTATTGTTACCGGTACTTGTCTTGCAATGTGAAATTAATTAGCTGCCCGTTCTCCTGTCCTCTGTCCTCCGGGCCACACACACACACACACACACACACACACACACACACACACGGGACCGTCTCAGCTGTTATTTTCGTTAAGGAGTGTGCACATACAGCATGCGCGCCTCGTGCACGAGCCTACTATTGAAGCTGCCGTTACACTTTTGGCCTGAGGGGGCAATCGCGAGCATAAAAATTCAAAACTCTGTAAAGTCCCTTTAAACAATTATTATGAATGTAGTTTTGCTGAAAAATGTCACAGACCATACCTACCGTTCTCGTTTTTGCATTACTTCCATTAACAGTCAGTTCCAGAGCTGATTAAAGTGACAATGTGTAGTTTTTATCGTTCATCTCTGGAAAAATCCATCAAATTTTTGTTGAAGATGAACTAAACGATGCCCAGCTGTTGAAAAATATTGGCGGCTTCGTAGATGAGAGCGTTCCCGTCCAGAGAGTCTTCCATTTGATCCGTTTGGATAAATGACTCCACCTCCTTTCCCAGAAAATTATTGTGCACACACACACACACACACACACACACACACACACACACACACACACACACACACACACACACACACATTTCACATTAACGCAACAAGACATGTATTTTTGTCATGATTAAAAGATGCATCGGGATTCTAACAACCAGATGAACTAAACGATGCCCAGCTGTTGAAAAATATTGGCGGCTTCGTAACATATGACCATAAATATCTGGTCTGAAAAACATGGGAACAGGTCTAAGTCTCTGGGCGACGCCATATTAGATGCCATGTTTCCTTCTACGGGAGCCTTTGAGGAGAAAACCCATTTGCTGATTTGAAACAAACGGTTACAAAACATTCACCATTAATAAATATTTTTTTTACACATTTACCTCTTCACTCATTGGCAGTGATGAAAAGGAGTCTGATGTTCTTGTTATTTTGCTGAAGTTTGCACTTCCTGGACCTTTTTGACCCTAATGGGCATCCGTTGGTAAGGTCTTACTCCCAACACAAAAATACAGCTTGCTTGCAACGATTTGGGTATCTACTGCCCCCTATTGGCAGGAAAAATGCACACCGTCACTTTAAATTAAACTACAACCACTTTTACACATTAGGACAGAAGTCCAGAGTTCAATAACCCCATTTAGACTCCGGCTACAGCATCAGGTGTGTGTATTCTCTGTACTTCTTACTCTTTATCTTGATTTGCATCAAACCTGAACGTGTGTGATGACTATTATCTGCATCACTGCTGCATAAAAGCATTTAAAGACTTGCAGCAAAGCAGCTGCAGTTGCAGCCCGGATGGAGCTCGTCTCCGAGAGGGCCGACATTATTAATTGTGTCACGTTTCATGAAACATATTGTATTTCATAACTGCCAAATCTATAATTACTGTTATGAGAAATCTGTCTCTTCCACCATTGCCTGTAGATTTTATGGGTCTCTCAGTGCCTCCCTGTTCTTCAATAATACAATATATCAAAGTTTAGCTGCTGCACACAGTTGAATGCTGATTAGTGAAGCAACCAGGAGGATAAATACATTCATCATGTTACAGGATTTATTCTCTACAACAGTTCAGCTTCGTAATTCCCTCGGAAAAATGATTTAACGCCCCTGCTTTGCAATCAATTACAATTGTGTGGAATTAATTGACAATGAAGGGAAATGATGAAGGATGAGACTCTAGAGTTATTAAATATAGATTATTGATTTACACGCAGTAACTAAGACTAATTAGGGTCAGACGAGGTTAAATCAAAGACAAAAGTGTGCAAGAAAGTCTTATAATTATAGCTAAAAATGACTAAAACAATCCTTTCTGCTCACCAGATAACTTCAATAGGATTTTCTGGTTTTTATGCTGTTTTCAGCTGCAAGACTTGGTTACAAATGAGTAAAATTATTAGACTTTCTTGCAAATGTTTTCACTTTCATGTTGCTGCAATTTTGAATACATTTAAATGATTTTGAAGAACGCGTCTCGGACCTCGTGTCAAATTATTCAGAAAGTGCAAGAAAAGTGAGACGACTGTGGGAGGAGTTGGAGAAGAATTGGCGAATAAAATGAGACACAATTGAGACATTTTGTGTCTGATTCACAACAATAAAATTGGCATAAGCAGGAAAATGGAGATCACACATGATTAAAACAATAAACTAAGAAAGAGTTGGGAAAAACAGAATAAAAGGGCAGTAAAAGTCCAAATCAGAACCTTGAACTGGGTTCTACTCAACAGAGGCAACACAGACAGACCAGTATCTGTGTTTTTACTGTTTTTACTGATGCAGGAATTAAAATAATCTATACAAGAATAAATAAACAATATTGTCTGTCTCAGAATATCTAGAGTTCAGCTTGAAATTATTCCTCAACTGGAAAAAGGAAAAACCAACAATGTTCTCAACATGAGGCTCACATGGCAGGTCGCTATCAGAAGCTTGTGGGTGGGTGCCAGTGGCGGTTTTACCATTAGGCATAGGTCGGTGGCCGCCTGGGGCCCCCTTATGTTGGGGGTCCCCCTAGCCCTGACCACTGGCACCCCTCTGTTAATGCCGCAATGGACCATTCCTTTAAGATGCCGATGCACAAACAGGAAGTGATTGGTAGTCATTCCACTCCAATTCAGTTGGTGGCAGTAATGCACCAAATTGTTGTTTGCCAAGTGCCATAAGTCCACAAATAAGAAGAAGAAGAGAAAGCAGAAGAAAAAGAAGAGAGGCAGGAGCGTTTGTAACAAACTCGAAGCGGGAGTCAAAACACTAAGCCCGAAATGTAGTAATCCTAGTGGCTCCAATAAGAGGAAGAAGCAGCTCGCTTTAAAAAAGCTTTTATCTTCACTTCCGAAAGTGACGTTGTTTTCCATGTCAACATCAAAAGGAAGCAGAAAAGGAAAGACAATGGAAAATGTTTAAAGGGAGGAAAACATAGACCAAAATGGAAAATAGAAACAGAAAAACAAAGGCAAAAGCACAGGAGCACTGACAGGAAGAAGAAAGCAGAGCAAATATTGAAAGAGCTCAAAGAGAGGGAAAGACAGGAAAAAAGAGGAGGACCAATAAAAAGGGAAAATAACTCATGGCAGAAGAGGGCAGAGTTTCGCAAATCCAGTCAAAGATAAGACTGTCAAAAATTTAGTGTAAGGGGCCCCATGTCTCTGTTCGCCTTGGGCCCCCAAATTGCTAAATCCGCCACTGGTGGGTGGGGAGAGTAAAAGAATCCGGGGAATCTCAGGTTTTCCTCATTTATCTGGAGAAATCTGTCAATCAGCCAGAATTTCATATTTTCCACACGTTTGAACCAGTTTTACGTGATTCCAACTGACAGTTTGCAGATTTTCTTGTAATTCCACGTCTAAACTTTGAAAAACCTATTTTGTTTAATTATTTCATTGGTAACAAATTCAACATCACAGGAGGTGTCTGATCAGTGCGTCTCTGGAATAAAAAGTAACACCGGTAAATAAGTAGGTAGCATGGAGAAGTTACCTTCCTTCCTGGTCAGAATCCAAACGGGAAAAACAGAAACTCCAGGATGATTCTAATCGTTAGAAAGGACACGGGCCGTGGGCCTGATTACAGCTAGGAAACCACAACAAGTGAAAGGTGATGTCTACTGTTTCTGTGTGTGTTGTGTGTGTGTGTGTGTGTGTGTGTGTGTGTGTGTGTGTGTGTGTGTGTGTGTGTGTGTGTGTGTGTGTGTGTGTGTGTGTGTGTGTGTGTGTGTGTGTGTGTTAGGGCTTCTCTCATAAAGTAAAGAACAAAAACTACATCTTATTTCATCATGAGGGGTTTTACATCTGCAGGGTTTTGTTTTTGCTTTCCTTGACGTTGGATGTGCTACTACTAGTTTACCCGTTTAATTATAGATCCACTAGGATAAAAAATAAAGTTTATCTCTCACCAAATAGAATATTTACTAAGACATCACAATGTAACCATAGAGACATTGCTTGGTGCGTGCGTGCGTGTGTGTGTGTGTGTGTGTGTGTGTGTGTGTGTGTGTGTGTGTGTGTGTGTGTGTGTGTGTGTGTGTGTGTGTGTGTGTGTGTGTGTGTGTGTGTGTGTGTGTGTGTGTGTGTGTGTGTGTGTGTGTGTGTGTGTGTGTGTGTGTGTGTGTGTGTGTGCTCTGTCTTCTCCATCCCCAGTGAGTCGTGGAGGATGGCTGCTTATACTGAGGCAGAATTCTCTGGAGGTTTCTTCCTGTTAAAAGGGAGTTTTCCTCTCCACTGTCGCTATATGCTTGCTTAGTATGAGGATTGCTGTATAGTCACTGACACTCGTCAGTGACTCGATGCAATTTGCTGGGTTCCTTATATAGGAAACATTTTTTCTGATTGGCTTAATGAACTGACCTGAACTGGAATGTTTATTATGTGAAGTGCCTTGAGACGACTCTTGTCGTGATTTGGCGCTATATAAATAAAATTTAATTTAATTGAACTGAATTTTCGCTTGTTTCTCACATCCTTACTGGAGCTGTTGTTTTCCTGTTTGATGTGTTGGTTGATGGTGAATTGGTAGAACTTTGTCTTTAATAATCTACATTTATCCTTTTTTTTAAATATGACAATGCAGAAAGCGAATCAGAGCAGAAAGCAGAAGCCGGTGCTGTAATCGTTGTCGGGGCAAAACATAAAAATCATAATCAGCTTCAACAAGTTGCAGGTTTGAACTTCCTGCAGCAAAATTACAACTCGATCAAACGTTTAGACGTTTTATTCGTGTTTCCATGAATGAATGTTTGATTTTCTTCTTTTTTAAAAGAACTTAAGATCTTGAGTGACGACGTGGAATTAGCTGCAGGTTTCTGTTTGTATAGATGTGGAATCGTAATAACGAAAACAGAGAGACCAAGGAAAAGGTACATTTAATTTAACCTTATTGTGAATACAGCCTGAAGAATTTGCTTTCTGCGACTACCTCGTTTCTCTTGCAGGACATGGTTCACATCACTTTATGAGAAGTCATTTATCTCTATAAAGCTTTACGTCCGTAACGTTGACAGTGCCCTGCTGATCCCCAGAGGGCATTAAACCGTTTACATCCCACGTTAGTGCGTTCCCAACAAATAAACGTCTTTGCTTTGCAGGATTCCTCACATAAAAGTAAAGCCAAAAGTTCAAATAAACTCCAAACCAACACAATAAAAAGAGACAATAAATGTAAAACCTAAAACTGGGTTCAGATGATCAAGAATGAAGGTTATTTTTGCATGAATTATACATGATAATCGCACATTTACATGCATATGCATCAGTTTGATGGATATTTGAAGACGTTGTGCCATTTAGTTGCTTTCCACACCAAGAGGGAACGAGAGAGTTCCTGTTATTGATTTGGGATCTACGCTACGACAAGCCTTAGTAAGTCTGTTTGTGGGTCCTTTTCTCTCCAGTGGAGCTGAAGGAGCACCTGCAGAGCTTTGTGGATGAGACAAACACTCAGCACGGCCCGGGATTCATCAAGCTGGTCCGGCACGATAAACAAGAAGGCCTGATCCGCTCCAGAGTCAGCGGATGGAGGGCAGCGTCTGCTCCGGTGGTCGCTCTGTTTGATGCACATGTGGAGTTCAACACCGGGTG